TATGAACAGGGAATTGGTTAATAAATTATGATAGAGCCATACTGAAAGATTACTATTCTGCTCAAAAGCACAAAAAGTATAAGGGAATTCTTGATGTATTGATAAGGAACAGTCTCCACAATGTATGGGTTAATTTTAAAAATTAAGGTGCAGACAGGGTTTTCATTGTGTGGTCTCTGTGTAAGAAAAGAACAAACCCCATCTACACACATTTCCTGTACGTGCACTGAGCTGGTAGCCTAGAAGAGACAGGTGACACTGGCTACCTCTAAGGAGAGGGCACTGGGTGCCTTTGACAGGGTGGGAGGGGCTTTTCACAATGAGGGGCTTTTACACACTTTTGAATTTTGAACCACGAAATACTATGCCTGGTCAAAACCAAATTAAATTCCAACAGAAAAGCTGAAGGGCCCCAGGTGGGCCTGGGCAGCCTCCCTTAGCGCCACCCTGTGTGAGATCCTGGCAAATGCATGTAATTCCCCAGGGCAGGCAAGTTCCATCCAGGGAATAGTGCCAGCTGACCACCTCCTTGGAGCCCAGCCTGGCATTTGTGGTCAGAGGGGTGCTGAGAGAAGCTCACCTTCACGGTGACACCTTCCTCATGGTCTGTTGTGGGTTGAATTGTGTCATCCCAATTCATATGTTGAAGTCCCAACCCCCGCTGTCTCAGAATGTGACCTTGTTTGGAAATAAGGTCTTTGCAGCTGTAATTCACTAAGCTGAGGCCATTCTGGAGCAGGGTGGGCCTCCAATCCAATGTGATGGGGTCCCTGTAAAATGGGGAAATTTGGACACAGACACGCACAGGCAGAATACCACCTGGGCAGGAAGGCTGAGATGGGAGTGATGCTTCTACAAGCCAAAGAGCACCAAGGATTGCCTGCAAAGCAGCGGAAGCCGGGAGAGAGGCCTGGAATGGGTTCTCAGTCAGAGCCCTCGCAGGGACCTGGCCTTGTGGGCACTTGATCTCAGATATCCAGCCCCCAGAGCTTGAGAAAACAAATGTCTGTGGCTTCAGCCCCCCAGTTTGTGGTGGTGCTTTGTTACAGCAGCTGCAGGGAACCGACATGCATTGTCTCAAGGGAAATGGGCAGATCTATGACTCCTGCCTAGTGCTTGGTTTACAGCCACCTTAACCCGTGAGGGAGCTGGAAAGGTTCCGAGGCTGCCCCTGACCTCTGAGAGTGCCCACCCTGGCCCAGTACTTACTGTCATTGGTCATGTTCTTGGAGACTATATTGGACAGTGTCTCAGACATCTTGGCTAAGGACCAAGAGGTTGATGCAAGGCTTCTCCTCTTCTAAAGGAGATCCTCACCTGGGGAGTGACACAGTGCTTAAGTCTGGTGGTCCCTAAGCCCAGAGCTCCCTTCCCCTGGGTGGCTGACAGCCACCGGCATTTGTTGAGGGCTCGCCGTATGGGGACACCTGCCTGCTCCCTGCCTCTCCCACCCGAGGGTCCACTTTTCTCTCCTGGACCTGGCTCTAGCTGCCTACTTTTTCTGTGCTTAGAACACATCAGTCTTGGCCTCGAGGGTTTGCATTTTCGGCCTCCTCAGCCAAAAAAATATTCTCCCATACCCAGATGGGGGTGGTGGGCTCCCCTCTCTTCAATTCCGAGCTCAAATGTCACCTCTTTAGAGAGACCTCTCACCATCCCATCCAAAGTGGTTTCTTCCTCCCCACCCCGGTGTGGCCTTTGTTTTCTTCTGTGCAATTCCCACTATCTGATTATCACTTGAAAAATCTGTTCATTGTCTATTTCCCCCTAAAATGTGAGCTCCATGAGAACAGGGGGTCTTTTCTGCTCATCCAAGCTCCTGACATACCCTTGGCACGCCTTAACTTCATCCGTTGAATGAATTTTCATTTTTGCAGGGGAGGAAGCAGAGATTCAGCGAGGTGTCCAAAGTCACAGTCAGGAGGGGCTGCCTCTGGAAGGGGCCCAGGGCTCTAGGCTTGTGCCATTCCCGCCGCATTCCTGCTACATCCCCCTATTGGGTGAGCCTGGGGTTCGCAGGGTCTCCTCCTAACACCTGCGCTCTGCCAGGCCCCGGGCCACACAGCAAGGTGCACAGGGATGGTAGGACAGATGGGGTGGGTGGTAGGACAGATGGGGTGGATGGTAGATGGTTGTGTTTCAAGCAAGTGTCATGCGAGCAGAGGGCGGGGAGCCTTGCAAGGCGCCTTGCAAGGGGCGCGTGAGAGGTCCGCTCCCGGCCACGCGCGCCCCTCGGGCCCTGGTTTCTTATACACATCTAGATGTGTATAACCGAGCGAGCTAGACCCATCATAGTGGGACAAGCGAGAGGATGAGGCCATGCAGACCAGGGCAAGTTTTGGGTGTCCCGATCCACCAGCTGCTTGCAGCCAGGGGCACCTAGGTGTCTGGTCCCCCGGCTCAGGGATCCTGCCTCCCCACAAAAAGCAGCAGCAGGAGACCCCTCTTTGAGTTCTGAACATATTCCTAGATTTTCCCAGTATCTGTGGGGATTGAGAGATGGCCTTTGTTTTCTTCTGTGCAATTCCCACTATCTGATTATCACTTGAAAAATCTGTTCATTGTCTATTTCCCCCTAAAATGTGAGCTCCATGAGAACAGGGGGTCTTTTCTGCTCATCCAAGCTCCTGACATACCCTTGGCACGCCTTAACTTCATCCGTTGAATGAATTTTCATTTTTGCAGGGGAGGAAGCAGAGATTCAGCGAGGTGTCCAAAGTCACAGTCAGGAGGGGCTGCCTCTGGAAGGGGCCCAGGGCTCTAGGCTTGTGCCATTCCCGCCGCATTCCTGCTACATCCCCCTATTGGGTGAGCCTGGGGTTCGCAGGGTCTCCTCCTAACACCTGCGCTCTGCCAGGCCCCGGGCCACACAGCAAGGTGCACAGGGATGGTAGGACAGATGGGGTGGGTGGTAGGACAGATGGGGTGGATGGTAGATGGTTGTGTTTCAAGCAAGTGTCATGCGAGCAGAGGGCGGGGAGCCTTGCAAGGCGCCTTGCAAGGGGCGCGTGAGAGGTCCGCTCCCGGCCACGCGCGCCCCTCGGGCCCTGGTTTCTTATACACATCTAGATGTGTATAACCGAGCGAGCTAGACCCATCATAGTGGGACAAGCGAGAGGATGAGGCCATGCAGACCAGGGCAAGTTTTGGGTGTCCAGATCCACCAGCTGCTTGCAGCCAGGGGCACCTGGGTGTCTGGTCCCCCGGCTCAGGGATCCTGCTTCCCCACAAAAAGCAGCAGCAGGAGACCCCTCTTTGAGTTCTGAACATATTCCTAGATTTTCCCAGTATCTGTGGGGATTGAGAGATTGACAAAGGCTACTTGGAGCTGAGAGCACAGTCAGGGACTCATCTTTTTGGGGACATTTACGGGTTTCTGGAGGGACTCTGGAGCAGTCTGCAGCCCAGCAATGTAGTCCCAGTGAAGATCCCAGCTGTGCCAGGCTCTGCCTAAGGCCGGTGTAGTGGGTGGGAAGACCACATCCACAACAGGAACTCCACTGGAGCTAGGGGTGGGAGTGAGGGGGAGCTAGCAAGATGGAAGGAGCAGGGATCCCTGAATCTTTGCTGGTAGAATAGTGTCCCAACTTGCAGTATCCACAGTGGGCGTTGCACAAGGGAGGAAGAACGTGGTATTGTGTTAAGCCGCAGAAGTGATTTGTGCATGTGCACATATGTGCACGTGTAGTGTGTGTGTGTGCATGTGTGCACGTGTGTGTTTGTTACAGCTGCTAGTGTCAAATATGCTGAAAGACAAGTAGTCCCTTTACCCTTAGGAGAGAGGCTCCTTACGCTGACATTCAAAGACCTCAATGACCCGGCCCCAGCCTAGCTCTGCAGCCTTATCTCCCTACAAACCATCAAAGCAGAACAAAAAGCTGTGCCTCCGATTTAGGTTTCAGCAGACCACAAGAAGCACTTCATGAACTGGTGACTCAAGTAGAAAAGCAAGTGTTTTTGAAATGGTTTATCTAAACACAAGGTGTTCTAATGAGGCTTTTAGGAAGCTAGAACATAAGTGACCCAAAGAGAACAAAGGTACCCAGGCTCCTGCCCATTCATTGTTCTCAACAGATCCGTTTATGAACTGTCGTGAATCTCCCCATGAACCCTACAGAGTGTTTTCTATGTGCCAGTTGCTGTTCCACGCGCTTGACACCAATCCACCCATTTCACCCATATGATCACCCTACCTTTGCATGAGTTGCCGTGTGGACAGAGCAGGGACACAATGAGGCAGTGGATTGCAGCTCTGCTCTTACCTAGAACACACTGCCTCTCGCCAGGAATCGTCCTACCATTTTATGCAGTTATCCCAGACAGTGATGCACAAGCTTTGGGGAAAAAAAAACCCCACAAGTCCAAAGGTGTATTTCATAATAAAGGCAAGTTCTCTAGTCAGTTTGTGTGTTCTGGCCTTTGTTTTTGCTCTTGGTAGCTTACAAGGTTAGAAAGAAAACCACCTAGAAAACGTGACCTGATTTGGAACTTTTAGTCTTAGCCTAACAGATCTAACTAAAAATACCATTTGCTGATTGAAAGCTAATTTTTAAAATCAGGTGGGTGATTGGTGGAGCGATGGCGGCTGGCTGGCTGTGTGGTGAATTGTAGTGGCCTGTGAGCTGGCCAGCCCAGGCAGCGGGCATGTGGGTGTCTGCTTCAAAAGTCTTCCAACATTTCTGTATGTTTGAAGCTTGAAAATGTTCATAATCGAACACTTTGGGAAAGCTAACAGTCTTCTTAAAGGAGAAATTTGTATTTCTGATTTCGCATTCTCCTCCTCAAACAAGGTATATCAGTCTGGGCCCTTGGGAATAAACAACAGAAAGCAACTATAGCCAGTTAAAGGAGAAAAGGACATGGGGGTGCCCCCAGACTCCGTAGGACAACAGGGAATCAGGCTGGGAGATGTTGTAGCCTGGAGCGGAGCCCAAAGCCATGGCAGGCGCGTTCCGGCAGAGACCATGCTGTGATCTGAAGTCGGCTTTGTACTCCTGACTGGCAGGCAGCACCTGGATCACCTGCTTGCAGCTTGGGCCTTCCACACAAGATCTCTGGCTTCTGCCGTGGGAGGAGGGACTCAGAAACCAGGGGGATCAAGGGTTGTCCTGTACCCAGACAGGGTATTCAGAGGTCTACCAGAATGACAAAGCCTGAGAGAGCAGCTCGTGTTTCTTTTCTGCAGCACCTGGTCTCACTGTTGTTCTGCAGCACAGCAGGCCAGGGAGAATTGGAGGGTCACCTTCAAGGTAAAATGCCTTAGATGCCCAGATCTCTCACTTGTGGGTTTTCCTTTTGCTGAGAGGTGGTAGGATATGGAGAATGACAGCCATGTCTATCGTGCTTCATGGTGAGTCAAAGGCTTTCCACGGGGAGGACAGTGATATGAGCTCTTTGCACTACTTACACTGCCCTAGGATCCCCTGCATGGATTGTGACCGGCAGGACTTTGTCTACCGTGTTTCAGGGGAAAGCTGCAAAGTCCTTAAAGAGTGTCTGAAGCCCCATCTCCCCTCCCTCTCTGGGCATGTGTCCCCACCCAGTGCCAGGTGCTCTAGCTTGGCATGCTTTTTATATTTTGTGAGCAATCACATTAATCAGATTGCTTTCCTGCCAGCTCAGATGGACAGATAATGTGATTGGAGTCTGGAAAAAAACAGGGATGACTTTTGGCATCCACATCCCAGGCATATCACATTTGACCACAGTGTCAGAGAAACAGTGCTAGTGGAATAAAAAAAAAAAGGTCTTGGAGCCCAGAGTAAGACTAGGCTCATATGTGGTCACAAGAGACCACATATCCTATGGAGGCGCCTAGATGGAATTGGGGAAACAGGCAAATGGGCAGTGGTGGCTAATGGAGATGGGATTTTGCTCTTTAGGGTGATGAAAATGTTCTAAAATTAGACTATGATGAACATTAGATTTACTCTGAATATAGTAAATGCACTTTAAATTGGTAAAGTTTAGACATGTAAATTATATCTCAATAAATATGTCCAAAAGGAGAAGAAGAAAGGGGTCCACATTGCCCAGTGCTCTTGAGTGGCCAAGCGAGAGGGACTGAAGAGTGTTCATTGGATTTGCCAACAAATTGGTTGACCTTGGTGTGACCAGTTTCGGTATCTTCTGGGGGACTGAGATGGATGGGTGATGAGGAAGAGGAGAAAGTGCCCTGGACAGCACTTTCGAGGATCCTGGCAGTGGCTCCATCTTGCTCTCTTATGGGTGTGCAGACCCACAGTGGGACTGGGGAAATGACCCTGGTCTTCCCCGCAGCTCTGGTGGAGGCTAGGTCATTAAAGCCAGAACCCCAGTTCAGAGGGCAGGATGCTGGGGCATGCAGCATGGGGGGTGAGAAAGGTGCATGGCACTGGCCTGGGTCCCAGATGTGCTCCTGGGCATGGTCTCCACAGGCGGTGGGGGAGGGGGGTGCAGGTCCCAGGTGGTTAGGGGACTGTGGTCAACCGGGATGAGGGGCTGAGACTAGACCAGGTTGTGGGCATAGAGGAAATGAAAGAGACACACACACAGAGGGAGAGGGTGTATGGAGGCAGAAGGCAAGCTGGAGGGACCATGGTGCTGAGGAGGCTGGGATGGGATCCAGACACAGGAGGAAGGGCAGGAGATGTGAGCATTAGGTGTGCTCCCCAGGAGGGTGTGATTTAGCCCAGGAGCCCAGGGAAGGTCATCTTTACACTAGTTTCAGACATCATTTAGGTTGTATTTTGCTTCAAGAAACAGAGAGCTTCACCAGAAATGACTTACAAGGAAATTTCTCATGAGAAGCTCCTCAGTACACCTCTCCTCATATCTTAGCCAAAAAACTGCATGTCTAAACCAATCGCTGCCAGGAGTGGAAGCTGGGGACTCTGTGGGAGGCCCCATCCCGGGGCCATAGGGCGGGTGCCTGGATGGCATCCGTTGTGTTAGGAAGGGGATGGGGTGATCTGAATGGATTCTGGCTTGGTCAGAGCACCCACTCCATGACATCCCCACCCAGGTGTCTGCAAGCCCTGAGGCAGGCAGCTCGCTCTGGGTTCCCCCCTCATCTAGCCCAGGAGCGCCACTCTTCCGCGGATGCCTGGGGAAACCCCATATGTGCACACACACCGAAAACTATATCTGCGAGGCGGGATTATGGCTGATTATTTTTTTCCTATTGCTCGCTCTCATTTTTCTTTACGATGAAGTTGTAGACATGTATTACTTCTATAATAACAAAACAGTGAAAAGTACAAGAAATCGCTGGGGGCACCGTGACTCCCGGGTGATGCCCGCGCTCTGTCGCGCTGCTGACGAGGACTTTCGGGTCTGGCCTCTCCTCCCGGGGCTCCTCGGTGCCCTCCGCCTGGAGCCCACTTAGTTTCCAGGACTTTCCCTCTGCCAAGCCCCTGCTAAGGGCCTCGACCTTGTCCTCTTCCCATCTCTTCCCCAGTTAGTCTTTCCGTCTCAGCCCCAACCCTACCACCCCTGCGCCCAAGTGTGGGCTGATATGTCCTCTTTGTGCCCCCAGAGCCATGGTCACTTCACGAGGACCTCTGCTGGTGTCTCCTCTGCTATCTTGCAGGTCCCAGAGGGCAGCCTCCTGAGTAGCTGGGACTATAGGCGCCCGCCACCGCGTCCAGTTAATTTTTGTATTTTTAATAGAGACTGGGCTTAACCATATTGGCCAGGCTGGTCTTGTCCTGTGACACTCTGACCGCAACCCGGAGCACCCGGACGGTGTTCATTAGATAGTTTCTTAAATGAGTCAATGGACAGTGGATGGGGAATGGAGTGGAGAGTGGACGGGAGGATAAGTTGTTTCCATGAAAGGATGAAATTCCTGTGGAGGGAGTGGACAGTGCATGTCTGTCTGAGCCACGCGCAGATGAGTGCGTGGGTGGACCAGGCGCGGACTGCGGGGAGCCTGTGGGTGGGCGGGGCGAGGACGGCAGGACGCTGTGGGTGGGGTGGACGACGTAAAGGAGGCTGGTGGCCGAGGCTATGCGCAGATGACTCGCGCGGCGGGAAGAGCGGGGCGCTAGGCGGCAGACGGGCGAACGGGCTGCGCGCTGTCCGCATCCGCCACGGCGTGGCGCCCTGCACCGGCCAGTGCGCTGGTCGGCGAATGCCCTTTCTGCCCAGAAGGGACTTACAAAAGAGGAACCTTTTGTCCCAGGCGGCGGTGAAAGGTTCCCGGTGACGCAGGCTTGTAAACAAGTTGAAAACTGGCCCTGGTCAGGCGTCAAGACGACCGCGCAGACAGCGCTGCCGCGACCTGGGCTCGCTCGCCCGCTGCGAGTCCCCACAGTTCCTAGCTCGCAGGCGGGGCGCCGAAGGGGCCAAAGACCCCTCCCCAGGCCCCAGTGTCCCTTCCTTGAGTTGCTACAGGAATCCACAGAGATATTTTGGGCAGGACCTCCAAGTCTACAGAGCCCCTCTGCCAAAATGCTAACACTTTTTTTTTTTTTTTTTTTTTTTTTGGCAGAGTCTCGCTCTGTCCCCAGGCTGGAGTGCAACCTGCGCCTCCCAGGTTCAAGCGATTCGCCAGCCTCAGCCTCCTGAGTAGCTGGGACGACAGGCGCCCGCCACCGCGTCCAGCTAATTTTTGTATTTTTAGTAGAGACTGGGTTTAACCATATTGGCCAGGCTGGTCTTGAACTCCTGACCTCAGGTGATCCGCCTGCCTTGGCCTTCCAAAGTGCTGGGATTACAGGCTTGAGCCACCACGCCTGGACCACCCTCACACTTCTAACCCTGCCTGATTTCAAACCTTCAGCCTGATTTTATGCATAATTGAGTTTTGTTTTGTTTCTTTTTGTTTGAGACAGGATCTTGCTCTGTGGCTCAGGCTGGAGTGCAGTAGTGTGATCTCGGCTCACTGAAGCTTTAACCTCCATGACTCAAGCGATTGTCCTACCTCAGCCTCCTAAGTAGCCACAACAGGCATGCCACCACATCTGGCTAATTTTTGTATTTTTTTCTGTAGAGACAGGGTCTTGCTATGTTGTCCAGGCCGGTCTTGAATTCCTGAGCTCAAGCGATCCTCTCACCTTGGCAAGTCCCAAAGGGCTGGGATTACAGGAGTGCCCCCCACCCCACAACCACATCCGACTTCAAATCCAGCCCCACCCTAGCCTTGGCTTCATCAGATCCAAATTTATTCCAAATCCTGACTCAGGCTCACATTTTGAACCCAATCTTCCCCAAACCCTAACCCAAGGTGTCCACCCCAACTCTAATAAGGTCTTTAGTGTAAAACCCGTTACTAACTGGATGCTTATTAGAGCACCTGGTAAACTTATAACAACATACTTTCTTTTTTATTTTTTCTTTTGGAGACGAGTCTCGCTCTGTTGCCCAGGCTGGAGTGCGGTGGCCCCATCTCGGCTCACTGCAAGCTCCGTCTCC